TTAAATATTTTACTTTTTATTTTATTTGTTTGTTATTTTCCCTACTGACAAACTGATGGCGCTAAATCAGACTACCATAGGGAGATTTCGCGTAGCTTTGCTTCAAATCTCCTCGGTTACAAGATTAACAATTTTTGTATGGTGAAATCTTGCTAAATCTAGTAGATAAGTGAGATAATCTACTCAACAACCCAAATTTCGTGTCGGTCGGAACTTGGTATTAACTTTTCACACTGTCCTGGTTTAGGGAAATCAATTTCACATTTCAATCCTAAATATGATATTTGAGTTAGAAATTACTTTCGGGTCCAAAAAATCTCTGTACATCATTGGTCACTCTTTCGAGAGCGGAGAAAGACGCCAATTCATTGTAACCAAATATTTCTGGTGTATTTACAATGAAGAAATATATTTACCTTTCCGATTATTTTTTTGCCGAAATTCCCAAACAGAATCGGTCAATCACTTTGACCTTTCTCTCCCTGTTTATCGTGCTCTCAAAACATTATAAATTTAACGAGAATCCCGGCCCTATCATAAATTCTGTCAATCGTGGTTCCCCTCATATCAATGCAATGCTTAGGTTTCCATGACGTCAATAGACCAAAGTGTAAACAACCGTTGTACAGAAATAGCCACACACAACAAAGGGGCACTCTAATCAGCGGCGATATAATACTCGTACAGCTGTCACTTATCAGCACCCTCCACCGCTATAACCTTTATTTACAGCAACAATAAAAGTGTTGGCTTCACACCACAACAACGGCTGAGCGCAAGGTGGTTGCACGGCGACGGAAGCTTTATTGATGATTATCGCCGCCGCACACAATTGCAACAACTGCCAAGCAGCGCGAACAGCAACACCTTCAGTTATCGTCGCCAACATCGGCAATTACAAAACCGCACACACACACATAAAAACACAGCAGTTTGTCAGGCGACACGGCGTATACGCGATCTTGATGATCTTTTGAGCGAATCTACTGCTTGCGTTTGGAAGCATTTGCATTTAAATGGAGTATATGGCCATATAAATGGAATGTTTATGCTTCAAGGTCAAATCGTAAATTCATTTGTAATTCGTTGCACGACGCTCGCTTTATCGCACTTGTGAAGCAACTCGACGTTACACCAACTCATTTGTGTGATTAGATTAACCGCGAGTTGGCGCACAAGCGCGGAGCAGTGCGGTGTAGCAGAGGTAGTTGTGGTAATTTTTATTATTATTGCATTTGGTGTTTGTGCCATTGACGTCACTCTAAGTTTGACGCTCGTTAGCGGTATGATATATTGCTATGCTCTGAGCTGTTATTGTTGTTGTATACAAGTTGACTCCCCTTAATGGTGCTTCATATTGACATGAATTGATAACTGCAGAGCTATTAATATTGGCGGTTAGAGGTTTCTAAGTTTTCGTGCTGGATTTCGTGTTTATCAAATAATTATTGATATTGTTAATTTATATTGATTAGAACATTCATCAAAAACTTTACGGCAGCTCCTTAGCTCTGAAATGTTCACAGCTTCGCATACTTCAGTTTTGAAAAGAAGATCGATTATTCAACGCAAGATTAGTGTTTCACAGCCACAATAAATCCAATCTATCTAGCTATTAAGCTGCTAACTGAATACTGAAAGCTAACGGGTGATCTAAGTAGAGGTACTTTTTTCAATAGTCTTTTTTTGACAGATTACGCATGAGTCGTGTCAATCATACAATCAGACGAGAGGCAGCAACAAGTTCTTCCACTTTTAATGCTAGCATAGTAAAGTTATTAACCAAATCGGCAGTTTTATAAATTTTCAGACTTTTGAGGAATATTATTGAGTTGCCGGTTTTTGGCCTCGAAGAAACGGACCCAGTGCAATTCCGTTTTCTCAGACTTCGCTTGACTGTCGTGTTAACGTTCTTAGCGAAAGCCAATGTATACAAAATGTCATATAGGGAGGTTATAGTAAGCGGTTCTCACTAAGAACTTTCGACCGCTTTCTTGGAAGACCACTTAATAACCTGAGCACCCCTTATGCCACATCAACACCAAATGAAATCTAAACTATCGTCAGATTATGTGGTTCGCACAGTGGTTGTGTTGACTCGTTTTGAGCCTACAAATCTTTTTCGCGCAAATAAGCAACCAGCCAATTTGTAGCACATAATTATAGTGAGTGGATCAGTCAAGCAGTCGGTGTGTATTTGCAATTTCTTATTCCGCGAACTGTCATCAAGTTATCGGCAAGCTATAGCACACTGCTCATTTCCCTACATATTTCGTATCTTGCAGTGCGATTCAGCGATGATGACGTCAATTACATACCATAAACGATAAAAGAGAAGAAGTAGGCAGACCAATGGGCTATAGCACGTAACGTTTATCTCAACAACAAGTTTTCCGGACCGCAAAAATCCAAATAAACCGCTTATCACAACTTATGAAATTAAAAAGAAAATAAATTGCGAAATTAACTCCAGCACAATTAAGATCAAACAACAAGTCGCGCTGAAATTCGCCGTAAAAAGCTCGCTGAGACTTGTTTACAGGCTGTCAACTAGCAGACAGCACGCTACGGACGACGGTTGGGGGCAACAGTCAAATTTGCGAAATTAAAGACGTCAGCGCAGACTTCATGTGCATGACTTAGTGGCTACATATGTACTGTACTTGTGTTCTCGGAGTGCCGGGCATTAGCTGAACTCGCATACTTTTAATGACAAGCAATTGTTCGACAGACAACCGTCGTCGCGTCTTTAATCCGTACGCTATTGTAAGCGCATGATCTACCATGTTGCGCAAGTATTGCTTGGCACAAAAAGCAACTGACAAAGCGTCTGGGCTTATCGAGTAATCCATTGAAATGTGACGCCTGCAGGCTGAGCGGTGCCACTTGTATTTATTTATTTACATTCGCGAACATTTTGTCTTCGATGTCACTTACATTGTGAGCATTAGCAGCTTTCTCGTTATACGCCGCTTTATGCATGAATGCATGAACACACCCTTTGCCCGCCGTAAGCGTAACGGCTGTCGCCATTTGTCAGCCACTGTCGAACGCGCGCATATGCCTGTCATTGTGCGTGTATGTGTATGTATGCTGAGCACTCACGTTTGCGATTGCTAACGCAGTCGTCCGCCACTTAGGCGGTCAGTGGGAGGTGTGTATGCTCATGCGCGTCACACTAATTGCTGTCGAAATCTTTTGCACAGCGCGACTGACGTCAAAGCGGTCGCACTCACAATTCGGCGCGCCGTCTTGGCCACGTAGCTACACCATGCAGGGATTTAAGTTTTCAATTCGCATTGGCAATTTCGCAATGTTTTGCTGACGGTTGGCGTGTCTAATTGAATGCCTGTGCGCATCAGCGAATCATGTGTCAAATATAAAAAGCGAAATATGATTAACGCTAATTAAACTACGCTCATAAATATCGCAATTGGTTGGATTTGTTATTATGCGATAAAAGATGTATAAATAAACGGTTTACTGATATGGCAGCGCTATGATTAGCGGACGTTGTGCACTGAAGTGCCACAAACGGCGCATATACGACGCGGCCTGCCTATTTTTCCACAGTTTATGAGCGCTATTTTGGTCGAAAAACTAATCAAACCTTATCAGCGCCGCTAGCATAGTCATCGAGTCATAAAAGTCGCGCAGCTGTCACATAAAAACAACACTTGCGCTTGCTATTATTAATTTCATGTACCTGTTGCGCCTAACCCGCCAGCCAGTCAAACGCTTACAGTGCAACAAAATGCACGACAAGCGAAGTTCGACAGGTGTTGCAAAGCGGCATTTAGTTGCAAATAAGCGGAGTGTATGCTATGCTCAATAGAGTATCAGTTTCAGTTAAACATTTCGCCAGGCGCAGCTACGCAACATATTTGTGAAAGCAGACACTCCAAGAAGCCGTTATCAAAGCATGCATATGTGCCGATTACACCCAGCAAAGGTCTCTGCAGTCATATTTACTTACGACCGCTGCAATAACAATACCACCAACCACCGCCCTGCTCACTAACAAGCACCAAGCTTACAAACGCTTTATTAGTTGACTTCTCCCCACTGCACACTCCGCATTTAATTAACAAACAGTTTTTGGCACCGTTATTTATTAGCTTTGTTGCAATTACTTAAAAATGCTTAATTTTTCATTTACCAAAATTGTCTTATGTTCATAATTATCAACTAGTAAGATATACAATTGGTGAATACCAAGATGGCAGGATGAAAGAGTGAGATAAGAAAATGAAACATTTCAAAAATGAGTGATGATGAGAAATATGCGATGATAACGGTTGGGTATGACAACAGCGATATCTTTCAGTTCCAGTGAACTGCCTCAGACTGTGACAGGTTCCATACAAACACACACGTGCTTTCAAGCATACAGCCCAGTAAATATTTGCTAATTTGCAAAGGTAGCGCCATAAATGAGTTTTATGTATGTATGTAGGTACATATATATGTATGTATGTTTACGTACACGTAAACATAAGAGTTACTTTCATGCGCTGCGCCGCGCACTAAATCATAGCGGCAATATAAGTAGATAATTTTAAAAAATAATTTCATATATATGTGTATGTGTGTATGTATGTTTATATGCGTCTGTGTGTCGGAAAAGCAAATAATAATAAAAACAAAAATGGGTTAAAATGCCTCAACGATAAGATAAATTAAATTAAAGCTGCATTCCTTTCACGTCCCACCGCCCATATGACACTGGGAAATTAGACTAATGTCACTTAGACTTACGGAATAGCACTCAGACTACATGCACAATTTCCATTACTTATACGCGTAAACACGCTCATACGGAGTCTACACAAGTGTTTATATAATTTACAGTTAAACACTAAATCTTAATAATGTTACAACAGTTCTTTGGGAAATATAGTTTAGAATACTTTAGGTTTGCTGAGATTTTGTTTGGCCGTGCGGCTTCAGTAGGGCGCCTTTTCGCCCAAGTTCGCACCCAACGGCACCACCAAACCTACCTTCTTAGCTGCTGGCTTCGTGCTCAGGTGCTGTGCGGCCAGTAGTTCGGACAGGTCTTTGCCTGTTTGTTGTGGATCTTCGGGAATGCTGAATGACTCCTCGTCAGCGCTGGCTGAATATGTCGAACAGTCGCTTGTTTTACGGTCTAAAGCGGTACGTACACCGTTTACGTAGCACTCAGCGCCGTCTAATGCGGATATCGTTGAGCCGCAGTAGTATAGGTTGCTGCAGGAGGAGGAAGCGCTCACATCCGATTCGCCTTCACCTTCGTTAGCGGTGTCCAGTGAGGAATGTCGTCGTCGCATACGCTGTGCGCGGAAGTATTCAATTTCTTCGAGCGTAATGCCGCACATGATTTCATCGGAATAATCCGACACAACTACGGAGGGCGTGCGTACAAAACGCCTACCACCCGGAAACTCAGTAGTGGCAGTGTCACTAGCGCAACTCTGTGCTGACTCGCGTCGCGAACATGGCTGTGACGGTGCTAAAGAACGCGGGTCTTCCGGTAGCTCTACGACGCGTTCCTCCAACAACACCTTGCTGGGCACCGTAGCCTGGGCTGGTGGATTGTTGATAGTTGGTGGTAGCTCGATGATCGTGTTGTCTGGCAGTGCGGTGGGTTCTGCTAGTGGCAAAAGCGCCGGTCGCAGTGGCAAATCCGTAACGGTGAGTGTCATTCTTCGCTGTTGTGGGCCGACCGGTGGCTGTGCGGGTGTTGTGTCCATTGACTCGTCAACGTCCAAACCGAGCGCCGAATCACTGCTGGCAGAGCGTGCCACTTTATCCTTGCGCTTTGCTTGCCCAACCGCTGAAGTGGTGTGCGCGGACTCGTTGTCCTCATTGTCTGATGAGTAAGGACTCTGTCCAAGGTTGCAACCCTCGTCCGAAAGTGGACTGTTGCGCTGCTCCAATCTGTCTGGCTTCAAGGACAACATGTTGCTGTCGCCTGTCTCGCTGGTTTTGTTTGGTTGCACTATCATTTTCCTAGCAAATCTCGTTGACTGACTTTCGAATTTTTGTACTAAGTCTTCCACACGTGGAAATGCACCGCCTGTATCAATCAAGCCGTGATGCGTGTGTGCCAAGGGGTAAGACGTCCTTATCGCGTTTTGTTTTTCAAATTTTTTCTTTAAATCGAATTTGCGTCTCGCAACTAAAGATGTAGCTGAGTGAATTTCGGCTGTGTTCACGGCTATCGTTGGTACTTCAATGTGTGGATCAAGTTGGTGAACTGCGTTCAACTGTGATTGTTGAAAATGCTCCTGCTTTTTACACGATATGCCACAATCATTAATTAGTGTCGATGATTGGGTTAAACGTTTGACTGTTGGAGCTTGCGATTCGAAATCTCTAAAAAATTCCGACTTCAGTTTGGCCTTTCGCGCTGCCAAATTCAGTGCCCTTATTATATCCTTACTATTGTTGTTGGTGCTTGTGTCTGCGCGTGCTCTTGTCTTACAAGCAGGATCATACTCCGAGTTGACTAAACTGACAACTGCAGGCCACTTGTTGCTCGATACGTTTACTTCACTTGTTCTGCCGTTGTATTCGCTTAGGTTGATGTTGTTGCTGTTAAACGTACACTGCTTTGCTTCTGATATCGTAGTGCTCGCTTCAACTTTTCTCTGATTACTAACATTCGTTAGCGCAACCAGCGGACATTTATTTTCAGTGAATTTTGATTTCGCATCTACCGCCGACAACACCCCTTTCACCTGTTCGTCTCCCATTTTCGACGGCGACGTCAAACGAGCTGCCGATTGTGTTCGTCGTGTAACAGACGAATGCGCAACTTCCCGTGCCGTCGCCACTGCTGCCATCGGCGTTTGTTCATTCGTCGTTGTTGTAGTCGCCGTCGTCACCGCATGTGTCATTGTAGTGGTGCTTGCTTTACTCTGTTTTTCCTTCGTTAATTGGCTTACCGCTAACGCTCCGCACGTCGCTCGCGTTTTTATCGTTGTTGTAGGTGAACACGACGGTCGCGCAACTGTCAAAGCCGCCGTGCGCGTTTCTGTTGTGGCTATTTTCGTATCCGTGGCATCCCTTACCGTTTTATTTGCGTCTATTGCCTCTCTTGTGGCATAAATAGCACTTAGTATAGGCGCTGAGTGTAACGAGAGCTCTTCGCCAACAATGTCAGTCCAACCGAGCATGTCATCCGCGATCGCTGCTCCGCACGCATCGTCTACCGCTCTGTCAATTAGATCCCAATGCTCATTCACGGTGATGGCATGCAACGAGGCTGGTGGAATGTGCGCGGAAGTAAGTGCTTCGCTCGCCACACAATGAGCCAAAGAATCGGATGTGCTACCGGTAAAGGTGGCTGTCATTTGAGTATCAACGCTGGTTTTTGCCGCAAAGCTCGTTTGTGTGGATCTCTGAGTTATGCGCGCGTTTTTCTTACGAATATAGGCGTCTGAAGCTATTGCGGTGGCAGTTGGGTTAGTTGTAGTAGTTCCAGTGCTTCGCCGACTGTTGTGGCTGCCCATTCTTCGCGCCAACAAAGGCTGGAATTTAGCATGTAGTTTGTCAGCCACTTGGTTACGCTTATCGCTGATATTGTTTTTCTTGTTTGTCGGTAATTTGCTCATTCTTTTTGATTGGGTGCGTACGCACTCAGCAATTCGTTTTGCTTTTGAACGCTTCTCTGCGTATAGTGTTCAATGGGGCTTGCAGTCGACATACACTGTTTGCAATTCACATTGGCTGCACAACGCCAAATGACGTCAAGACACAAGACTACATGACGCAAATGTCAGCGATTAGCTGTGACCAAGCCATGTCAGCGTTGTTTTTTTTTTTTTGTTTTTCACTGTGCGCAGATATCTTTGTTATTATTGTTGTTAATAATGGGCATTTTCACAATCGTGCAGCCACTGACGCAGAAAAGACCATCGACCGCAGCTGCTAAACGCTGCTGACGCACGGCAGTCACCAGACAATTAGACGCTTAACGCGCGCGGTGATCGATAGTATATGCTGGGACTTGAGAAATTTACGAAGTTTAGCCGCGCGAGTATAATAATCACCAGCGTCGCTGTCTGCTCACATTCACTTTAAGCTAACACTTAATTAAAAGGATTTTTCGGTATAAACGTTAATTTTTTGCTAATTAGCATGAAATTGCTATGACGCTGTACGGAGTGCTATGAGTAGTACGCTGCGCGAGACCTATGATACACGATGACACGAAACTGATTCTACGTTCACACGCTGACGCTGAGAATGAGTAATTCGCGCAGATCAATACGTTTTACAAACACTTCTTGGAACGCGAACTATGCGCTTAAAGTGTGGCGTGCGTCACTTGACAGCCTCAGATACACTCATATGCGACAGCAGCACCTGTTAATCTGGATGAAGCTACAGGCGCATGAGCTAGCGCACACAGATATATACACACTTATGTTTATGAACGCGTCAGTTCAGTTTAACGCGTCGATCGCTGCACTGATCGCGTCAATATCGCGCCTTGCCTGCGTCGCCAGCGGTTGATCTAACCGCGTACAGGAGCTATATTCACAAGCGCCGCTCCAGCTGTTTGACGCGCGCGAATTACGACAAGCTCACTATCGCGCACATTATTTTCACCTTGGCTGATCGTTTTATAGCGCTTAACAAATACCTCCCCCTGCACCAGCCAACGCGTTTTCATTAGACGTAGTCGCGAACAGCGCCTGCAAATAGAAATGGAAATGGCAATAGCGATTAATTGTAGGGAAAAGGTGCGACGTGTTTGGGTTGCGTCGCCACAACCATTCAAATTGAGGATCGTAAATTCATAAAAATATTGAAAACAACATATTATCTAATTCTTTATTAGCGCTTGCCTATGACTTGCATTCAGCAGCTTTCGTCTGTTTTGGCTTGAAATCGTGTTTTTGTTTTATTTTTGTGTTTACTGTGTTCACACTGAACAACAATAAAGCCAAAGTTGCTGTTGTTCAGTGTGAGCTTTATCGTGATCATTATCTACCGGCAATTATAAGCTTTCGCTGCTACGCTTCAGTAATGTAATTAACGTTTATCGCCTGAGTTTTTTTTATTGTTTTTTTTTTTGCTTTTTGTTCATTTTTTACAAGCCAACCTACTGACGCAAATCGTATTTTTTGTGCTTCAACCCTTTTTTCATTCATTCACAAGTCGAATTCTGCGGTCACTTTAATTTAATTTTGTTATTTTATTAGCCGCTTTAGTATTAAATAGTTATTGTTGTTCTAAATTTATATTAATATAGTATGTAGTATATGTGTTGTTGTTCTGCGTGCTCTATGTGTTCTATCATATATCAATTTCACCTCAACGCCAAAGCAAATCGTGAAAATGAATTCTCAGTATTGCCAGCCGCAGAACAACAGCCACAGCCGCTCACCATTCACGCAGTCGCCGTAGATTTGTGGACTCATGATAATACAACTGATAAAATTTTAGGCTGTGGGCTAATGTTGTCAACCAACCGCAAACATGGCATGTATTATTAGCTCCAGAATAATCTTTGATAATTTCGCCACAATGAGATTTGTTGTGGCGAAAATGCGTATGCTTAAGACTACGAATTATATTTGTTTGCATCTGACTTTATCACTTTACGACATGGAAAATTTCGTGTGTTTATCCGCGTTTTCCGCGATTGAGAAATAATTAAACCTCATAGCACATAAAATCATTCATTAAATTAAAAAAAGGCAAGTCACTATCGCTTTATAATTATCTGCTAAGCCTATAAGTCTTTTTGGAATGCAAACTCTCAGCTACCTAAGAGCGCCTGAGTATCAGCTTCGAGGTATGTTTTTTTCACTTAAACTTTCCAACAGAAATACTCTCACAGCTGTCAAGTACTTAGAACTCGGAGACAGCATCTGCGCATTTGCATAAACCATGTGGCTCGTCATAATTATTTGCATACCGAAATATGCGGATAATCTTCAAGGAGCAGATCAAGGAGGCGAACTTGAGCTCAAACTATGTTCTCAGTGCTCTCCACTTAAGCGACACAACTCAGCTGGTAGGTTTGTTGGACTAACACGCTTAACTACATGGTTGAAAGATCCATAGAGCTATGGCACGACAGTAAACGTCAGGGAAGCCTTTTAATAGCATGAAAATGTTGTTTACAACGTGAATGGAATTGACGGTATTTCTGCATCGCTGAGGACGTTATTTGAAAACTTAGTATATTCCTTATAGGAACTCATTATTAAACGAATGTAATATAGATTCCTTTCATTGCATTAAGTTCATGGAACAGGAATTTAAGGGTTTAATTAAGAAGAGAGAGAGAGAGAGAGAGAGAGAGAGCGAGAGAGAAAGACATTAAAAACCCACCCACGCTAAATACCCATTTGGAAGAACTTCACTGTTCACTCCGTTAGGTATAGGTTATGGCAGTGCCCTCCGATAACCTCTTGTTCTACAAATATTTCTTATAACGCAGAATATCGTTGACACGGATGATGTCATAAGCAAGAATATATGAATATATGTATGCATGTCAGCATGTAAAATTTGTGTCATTATTAACCGGAACGTTAATTAATGACTTTCATTTCATTTCGCGCAATTTAATTGCAAAACCGTTTGCATTTTGTGTACGTACAAATATTTTTAATAAGCAATCAAATAAATTCTACGCAAAACACAAACAGCAAAGCAATTATAAACGATTTCCTTTTCTTTTTTATTTTGTGTATGTGTGTGTTTTTCTTATTGACTTGTTAAGCTGAAAGTGAATTAGCCGCTGAGCGGTCTTACAGGTTCACCTTGCGGCTGACCCACTGCCACCAACAAAGCTGCCTCGCGATCAAGCAATTAAGCTCCTTCGATGAGTAGTTGCATTAAAATTTCATTACTTTTTTAAGTTTGGCATTTTACACAGCAAAGAGTGCGAATAATGCGTAATTGCTGCATTGACAGTTCACAGAATTAACAGCGCCATTTCCCCAACAGCTGTCACTTTGAATATTTATCACGGATTTTACATATGCCAGTGGCACACGGCTGGTTTGTTGAGCCTTTGAAGGCACCACTTAACGAAATGAATGCAAAAAAATAAATGTCAAAAGCTCGTCACGCTGTCAAGAATGTTACTTAGCAATTCGCTTTGGTGTCAAATCGACTTGTCACGCTCAGCATGCCGATCTTGATCGGAATTTAAAAACAGGTCCAGCAGTTTGGTCGAAGCTTCCTAAGCACTCCACGTCGCTCTCAAACACAAATATTTCTGTTTGAAAAATCTAACCGAACAGAAGTCATTGCGATTTCAGCCACTCAATCATAAGCGTAAGCCTGTGACCCCACTAAATGAGGTTGGATATGTGTCAAAGGCGAATCTGACAGCCAACTAATAAATCCAAAGTGAAATGTTTAGTAATGAGTGTGCTCACATTTATGAATTTATTTTTAAGGGTGCTTGAGAGTTACAAGGCTTAAACACTTTCGAGAGAATTCACTATTCGGTAGCAGAAATATGCCGTACCAAATATCGATCGATATTCAAGAAGTTTCGTGAGACTATTTGTCGTTTAAAAATACTTTTCTTTTCAAAAATTACTGACACTTCAAACAGCTCTCGTAGACTTGGCAATTGACGGCATATTTTTGAAGTGAGATAATATTTGTCTAAGCAAAGGGCAACGATAACTTTTCTATGGGCACGTAGGCACAGCAAGACGTCGTACGAGAGCCTTTTATCAATAAGATAAAATTCTTATCAATAGTATATGTTTCCTCTGTATGTATATATAGTAGACGCGTGCAAGCACATGATTACAAATCAACTAGTAGTAGGGGAAATCCGTTACGTTGGCTACAAGGGAGCGGTTATGAATGCGTAAAAATACTATTTATTATTTATTTGTGGGTTTATCTTTTATTTGCTGATATTTATCTTTTTATTATTATATGCATTTATTTAACTTTAGTATATTTGCCATAAATCAGCAGTGTACATGTGTCTTGTGACTCGCTGGTGCGAAATGCCTGTGGTAATTGCTCAGCTAAAGCAGAAATTCGCAAGCGTCAACAGGCTTTAGTAAAACTACAGCATTTTTTTCGCAAGCGTATGTGTTATGTGTGCGGTTTATGGCGAAAAATTCCGATTTATTACTCATGATAAGTTTTCCGAGGAAATGAATATGGGGATCATATGCAATTAAGTTTACGACTAGCTATTTGCATAATTAAGTGCATCAACCAAGCGAAAAGCCGAAAATAATTATAAAAAAAATATTTAAAATGATGAAATATGGTCGATAAATAGACGTACGAATAACTCGTAGTTGTAATCAAGTGTCGCCAAGCGTTAAAAATAATTAATTATGATGAGTGAGTTAGCCAGTTGTGGCACGGGGTTATATGGATGCGGCTTGTGAACGCCGTAATCATCACGTAAGCTAGCGAATGCTTTATGTCGCTGAGAGTAGATGTCATCAGTTGTGAAGTGCTTTTATCAGTATTTCATGCATTACAGTCAGCCAGTTCAAGAGTATTGACTACAACACTTGCGTATGAATGCGCTGCGATTTCGAGCTGACTGCGTGGTACTTTACAAAGTTTAACGAGTTATAACTAGCTTGTAACGAAACACGAACTATGAAAAAGCTCTAAGATGTCAGAGTCAGCGCTTGCCTGTTTCTTCATACAACAGCATTAACCTAGTGAAATAGTAGCCAAAACCAATATTTGGCTAATGGCGATCAAATTTCACACTAACATACAAAAGTTTTTACCTATCTAAAAAGTCCGGTTCAAATTTGATCTTGCGTGTACGTACTCGTATGCTTTAACATTTTGCTTAACAGCGGATTTTTACACGAATGAACGCGTTTTGTCAGTAAAAATATTCGATTTTCATTATTCTGATAGTGTTGCTTTGAAATAATGTCTTTTTTATCCAAACTGGCAATGTCATCGGCACTGAGATTAATACAGTTCATATAAAAGTCAACGTTTTGGAACAATTAGTTCTATTATAACAAAGAGAATCATGAAGCTTTTGTTGAACAATATGAGTTTTTGTTTTGTTGGAAAAATAAGCGCATATGGCGGCAAGTACACACGCCCAGCTTTATGTGCTTATATAAAGACATGTAAAATATGCGACTGCGTCACAGCCACAAACTGGCAGCTCAGCCTAGCAACGAGTGTAGAATACTCATAAGTTTTGAACAACCGTCAACTAATGAAACATATGTAAACAGTATAAGACACGGCTTGAGCGCTATGAAACGTGTACTGAGCGTGTAACGCATATCAGCGGTTTTTATGTAGCAGTTTTGGCCAAGACGCGCATGTTTGAGGCACAGTCATAGATTTCACGAGTGTAGTACACTTTGTGAATTTCAAACAATCGTTAAGTACAAATTTCATCGGAATGCAAAGATCTACGTCACTAAAATCGCCGAAATATAGCAAAAACTACGTCAATGTTTACAATCACATTCGCGTGCTTTTGCCGTTAGATACGCTTATGAAGACTCATACTCTAATTTAGGAAACAATAAATTATAATACACAATCATAGCGAAATTATTATGGTATTTATATATTTGTGAGTACATACATACGTACCTACATACAGGTTGGTTAAAAAGTTTCTGCGCTCGAAATGAAAAAAAGAATGTTTTTGGCATGAAAAATATTTTTTATTCAATATAATCCGCCTAACATCAATATACTTATTTCAATGATCCTCCAATATTTTTATGCCATCTTTATAATGACTTTCCGGAAGCTCTGCATTCATTCGACGAAAAACGCTTTCCACGAAGGAATTTTTTCAGGTTTCTGAAGAGGTAGTAGTTGCTGTTAGCCAAATCTGGTGAATACGGTGGCTGCTCAAGCAGTTCGTACTTTAATTCGTTGAATTTTGTCATTGTTAAAACTCTCCTCTGTGAGCAGGTGCATTGTCTCGTTGAAAAATGATTTTTTTTCTGCAGCAAACCAGTTCTTTTCTCACGAATTGTTTCATCCAGCTGATCCAAAAAGCTGCTATAATATTCAGAATTGATTTTTTCACCTTTCTGCAGACAATCAATCAACAAAATTCCTTTTGCATCCCAAAAATCTGATGCCATAACCTTCTTTGCTGATCGTTTTGACTTCACCTGCTTTGAAGCTGAACAACCAGGATCGTTTTCAAGCCTAGTACGACCACGTTTAAGTTCACCATACCAAAATTAAACGGTGCGTTTTGTAAGTGAGGACTCCGTATACACTTCTAACAGTTGTTCATAAATTTCCTTTGCTTTTAAAACTTTCAAAACAAAGAATCTAATCACTGCGCGTTATTCAATTTTTTCCATATTAAAAATATACGCTGACACGTCAACTTCAAATGGCTTGTAAACAAAGAATTAATCTTTAACTAACGCAAAATCTTACTTACGCTTAAATTGAGTCTGCATTACAACTCTCTACCACAGCAAACGTTCATTCCAACGCACTGAAGTTAAAGCTTTATATATATTATATAAATAAAGATGAGTTTTGCAGTTTCGGCGACTTTTGCTACAGAACAAGCATCCCTTAGCCGTTCACCACAAAAAAACAAGAAAATTCCTATAAATAGGTATAAAGACCTAATTGCCAATAGCTATAAGTGACAAGCGTTCAAATCTAGCATAAATTTACCAAACAAATGCAATTCACCTACTCAGCTTGTTTATGAAAAAAAAACTTTAAATTATGCAATTAGCAAGCAAAATGTCAGCAAATTTAAATAGAAGCCACAGCTCTCGTAAAACAAAGTACAATCTTTGTATGTTTAAACGCAAATACTTTCACTAAATATAACATGTGTATGCTAATGAAATACATATGTACATATGTATGTGTCGGTTTAATTACGACAAAAAATTTATGTACGCACAAAGTACAGCGAAAACTACAACAAAAACATTGCTTGTAGCTATATTTGCTTTTGTTATTATTTTCGCTGAGAAGTATGTATGCACACATGTAACTGCTTACCTGTTCAGTCGGCACATATGCTGCTAGTTTTCACGAGGTTAAAGCCAATTGGAGTCTGCCGCGTGTAAGCGACACGCTGCGCTTATATTGTTTTAAATTATTAACGTGAGCACACTTACACAAACAACTACATACATATGTATGTATATTCACTAATATTATATACATATATGTATTAATGTAGCGATCGGTTTGTTTACACTAAAATATTTAACTTAATTATTACATTTTTATTTGTGCCAGCACATAAAATAACGCAAAGCGCGTCTACGCCGATAACACTTAATAATAACACTACCGCCAGCGCTCATTTGACGCATCAGCACGACACTCGAACCGACGCGACACGTTTATGAAACAATACAACGCTGTAATGAGCCGATCAGTGAGCGCGCGTATTCACTATTTGATAATGTGTAAATAAAATGGCTTTAACGCCTCAGCGGCGTGAGCTTAGCTTGAGGCGGCGTTTTGGCGAAAACTAATAGTACAACACTTAACAGTTTCAGGTGCAATAAGTAGGCTCAACTATGCAGTAGCAACAGCAATAAGAGCGCTTATTTATTGCACGAAGTTAAGCGCTGACGTAACGGAAGAGCGAATACCGCGCTCGCGTGAGACCGACGCGTTTTTATAGAAGCGATTGTAACGGAAGAGTGCGCGCGCATGCGCACATATGTGGTACAGTAATGTACGTTTTTAACAGGTAATCTTCAATTTGCTATTGATACTCGCTTACATATGCACATATACATACATATATTTAAGTAGACATGCACGTTTGTACACTTGTCGTCTGTTTTATCTACTACTATTGCGGTTATCTCATTAAGTGCTAGTAAAACAATATTGTTTATTGTTGCTGTTGTTGTAGTGTTTGTAGCAATTGTTGTGGTTGGCAATGTTTCACTAAATTTTTAATTTACTTTTCACAGTAGCCCCCTTCTCACTAATACACGTACATACATACTTATAAGTTTATTTGGATTGGCATTTGCGGCTAAACTAATTATTATTATTCCACTTTTGTTGTTATTGCTAATTGGAGCGTGGTGATTGTAATGCGAGAGGACGCACGAACACTCGGATTTCACAAAATTGCTTTGATCTATGTTTGCTTATATGCATATGCGTATGTCAAACTGTGTTGAAGCTTTCAAGCACATGTGTGCGCGTTGCCATATGGAAATACTTGTCAACAGCATTGTTGCTATTTCTTCATTTCCCAGCACGCTGCGCCTAATCCCCTTAAATGTGATCGCAATATAAGTGCTGCTATGGCGCGCGACAGCGCAGGTTCTCAATGACGAGCAGCGTTGCTGCAAACGACCCATTGACACATTAACTAACACCAACAAACACTCACCAAACATGATTACATATACACACATGTTGGCGTGTTTGTGCACACCAGCATACATACATAATTATGTGGTAATGATCGCAACAAATTTAAGCTGATGCGGTCTCGCCAACAAAGTCGCTGGCTTGATTCGTAGTAGATCAGTGTGAAAACAGCAACAATTGCAATTAGCACGCTGTTGACAGCGTGTTTCACTTCAAAGCTCGCACCAGGCCGAGGTTAGTAACTGCGCGGCTTGCTTGTCTGCTCTGTGCATGTTTGCTGATGTGGTGTTTTGGGTTTTCATTTCATGGCGCACTGGTTGGAGAAGAACATAAATTTTTGAAAATATTGCCTGGTTTATCGTGACGGCGGCGTCAATAATACTACCGCACCAACGCAACAGCTACACACGGATAACACACGCGCACAGAAGGTGATCGAACGCGCGCAGCCGGTTGTGATGCAAAGCGGTTTGCATATGCTGACATAAAAACATGTGTATGTATGCATATATGTATGTATGTATGTAAGTGCAAACATATTTATCATTTGACGAGTTCAACGAGCAAATTAACGCAACGCATATGCTTTACAGCTGATTTCAATGAAATTATTTATTTAATTTTCTTACTTTGTTATCGCCAAACTTTCAATTTCCCCCTGAGCGACAGCAATACAAGCAACAAAAAAGCGCTCCCACGCAATTGCTTTGCTAAGCGGTAATTGTGTCACTGTGGTAGCGCAAAAGCACAGATTTGTCTGAATGGCGAATGAATTGTATTTAATTTAATTTTACGATATTTTTTATAATATTTTGTATGCCAAAGCTGTGATGTTTCCCCACTTGGCAAAGTACATAACTGTAAAAATTGCTATGATGCATACAATTCGACAATTTGGTGGGTGGCAAAAGCGAATCAATCTTTTGCATATGCACAAGCACAAATTGGAGACTGTCCAAGTTAATCTCGACTACTGTTATATGTGTTATTATGAACGACTGCAACAACTACCCAAAACATTGCGTACAACAGCAACGGCTACAACAACAGCAATAACAACACTTAACAATAACCGTTATAGCAAATATCTCATAAAAGACCCAAACGGCATTTAGCAGCATTTACTTTTGTTTTGATTTTCTTATTAGCAAATTATTTTTTTAACTTTTAATTTCATGGCATTTTACGTTCTGTTACAACAAACAAAACACTTTCCGTTCAGTTGCATGCGCTTTTTTCGTAATATGGAAACAACCGATAACAACAGCTTTTTACACGACACATTCTATTTCGTTGTTCGCGCTCAACTGCAAGTCAACAGGCACAAACTGGGCTCCAACCAATATTGCTGTTGTTGCTCCACACGAATACAGGCATTTGTATGCGAGCAAGCAAGGTTGTTTTACACTGCGAAAAACCGGACTACGTTGTCATTGTTTGCAAACAAAAGTTTATTATATCAACAGCAGTACTAACAAATTGCTCCCAAACTATATAAAAATGTATATATACAACACAATTAACATAAATACACATTTTATGTTGTAAAACAAATATTTAACTATTTATGTTTGCTAACGTCAATACGCGTTGTATAGACACATAACATCACAAATTCCTCTGAAATGCATTATTGTAACTGAAAACTGTAAAATATACCTGCAGATGGCGCACTTATTTTCCGATGGCCATTACTTCAAGATAGCCAATTATTTTCATGATTTTATAAGTATTTCAACAATTAATTTAAATCAATTATTATTTTCTTCAATGGTTTAATTTTGCTTAACATTTCAGATAGTAAATGCGAGCAATTATGTTTGTTATCGAATTGTGTCTTAACAATTTTTTTTAATCATACGTTACAGATATGTGGCAATACCAGCACTTGTCAAATAATTTCACAAAAACGAAGGAGTTGGAAACGAACAGAATAAAAGTTTTCATTTTGCGATTTGTATAATTGTTTTCAACAAATTTGCACATAGTTTTCATAACGAAGTTGTTTAAAATTGCGCAATATTATTAAGAGTTTAATATCTAATATATTGTTGTAAAATAAGAATTGAAAACAAGTCGAAATGCCAAAACGTGGTGGTCGGGCTAATATGAACGGACCTAGTGGTTCTCGTTTCGTAGCATTTAATGATTTGGACGGTAAGTTTGCCAAATAATGTGCTAAACTTTCTATAACATTTTTACTCCTTCCTCAAGATCGAGATGATCGCGATCGTGACCGTGAACGTGATAACACGCGGAAGGATCGCAATACACGTAGAGTTAGCTTTAAACCATCATTGCTACAATATTCTGGTGGTATTAAAAGGAGAATGGCTGAGATAGCTATACGTTCACATTTAGAAGATGATGAAGATATGGGTGATATGCCAGGAACTTCCAAGGTACGTAAGAACAAAAATAAAAAAAATAGTGTGTTCAAATTTTAATTTGTTTGACTTAAACAGCCGGACAACACACGCCGAAAAGGGTCACCTATACCTAGAAAAAAGTTTGGGAATACAATGCATTTATCAAAGTCACCATTTGGCTGGTATCAAATTTCGGTAAGTTGTAACAAAGAAAAGTTTGAACTATTTTTATTCACTTTTTTCAATAGATATATTATTATATATAACCTAGAGCTGAAATAAAGTTCCTTCATATCTTCGAGTCAAATAAAGGGGGAAAAATTCATTAATTTTTAATTTACTGCACAATTTCGATTTAAGTTTAACATGAAGGTATATTTTTTTGTTTTGTTTTATACATGAATAATAAGGTAGAAGGTACCTGTTTATAGAGTATCTAGTTCGAGCACTGCCAGCAATGGCTCCTCCTTGTGTGTGTGCTCAAATAGACAGCTGCAACAACCACTACCTACACGCCACTCCCCCACTCTCAGGATCACCTCTAGACACCCGTGACAGAGCATATCGCATACAGACTCCAGAAAAAGATTGAGAAGATAGTTGCTCTTGTGAGTCGCGGTCCAAGAAACCAATTTTAACAGCCCCTCAAATCTTCTGAGATGTGCTGGTTTCAACTTAACACGTAAGGATCGCATGTGGGATAATGGTGGAGGCCTAACCTACAAGATCGTCATATCGGCAGCGAGATCGATCACAGGGATATTACCCTAAAAAGAACATTCTGCACAATGAACAACGAAGTTCCCACCAGAATTAAGGGCACCTGGTATAGGTGGGAACGGGGTAATTTTGAATGTATACTTTAAATAAGTAAAGCTGTTGTTTTTGTCGTAGCAGCAGAATTTTGTTGAGTTGACAGTCCTTGGCCGGAAAAAATTCGGGTCCGTTCCGGTTACGTAGACCCGACTGTTATGGAAAAGGAATAAGTAAAGCTCGTAGCTCGTAATGGCGATCTGATAAATGGCATAACCTGGCAACCATTCGTCTTATATCAGACCATCCGTCCATAATTATCTCGATTGAGAATCCTCCCGACTTTATTTCTATGAACAACCGAATCTTTGTTAACTTCAGCAAAGCTAACGGGGTTTCCTTCACAGAGTTTACCGGGAACACCTTTACCGCACTACCCATTTTTACCGACGCAATCATTGGCAGTTGATCGCAACTGCTACCGCTCGCTTCATCCCGACTGGGAAAATCGCGAATCTCTGCCCCAATTGCTCAGCTTAAGTAGCAGCTTTAGCAAACTAGCACGACACCTTAAGCCAGGTCGAGCTCTGTGATCCCCGCATAAGGGATCTCAATTTGGAGATTCGGCATATGGTAAATCAGCACAAGCGGACGGAGTGGGTGGAGCACTTGAAATCCTTTAACCTCTCCGCCGGTGTGAGTAAGCTCTGAACTACTTTCAAGTGCCGGTCAAATCCGAAGAGACATCACGATCGGGTCAAAAGATGTGTTAACTGACGGCGACTCAGACAGAGTAGACATGAAACTTATCGTTCCATAACTCCCCTTTCCCCAGTAGTAAAGATATTTGAGGCCTTGTTTCCCCAACCTTCACCCACCATCTGAGTCTAGCAGACCATCCACATAGCTTCCGTAAAGTGCACAGCACCACCACAGCACTTAGCGTCATAAACGCCCAGATAATACAACTTGACACTTATCTAACGCCCCTCTCTCTTTGGTCCGAACCCGTCGAAGCAGTCCTTCCTGAGCCTATCGTTAGATAATTTCCATGACGAACCTTGCTACCCTAACAGCTATTAAATAACCGCTACAATCACCACTGCCAACGCTTTCTTAACCCTAAACCCTGCCTCGCAAATCCCATCCGTGAGAAAAATAGTAGTACGAAACAAATATAAAGACGCATGTATAAAAAGAAAAAAAAGAAGCAGAAGTTGCTACCAAAACAACAAGTAAACAACAGATACACACACCACCGGTTTATGGAATAATCCAAAAGCAAACACAAATGCATGAATTCAATACGGCATACTCGTGTACCAGACCAATAAGTAAAACAATTTAATTATATTTATACAAAGGTTAAAATAAACACGTGGGTAGATGTGTTGGCAAATATCGAACACAGTATTTGCATCGGCTGGATTGCTAATGAACGGCGGTATCACTGGCGCAGCAGCCATTGCATATATTTGTCTGATCTAGCCTCTGCGACTGGCTATAATGGCTATAAAATCTCCTTGTTTCCGCATTAACAATAATGTAAATACGAATTTCTTGGCGAGCACTGTTGCTCGATACTACGAGAACAAATTCCGTTTGCCCACAGTACTCTTGGCAACAGCCTACCCGACGTTAGCGCGGAAGTTTTTAAAACTTTTCAACTAAAAATAGTGTCGATTCAGTTACGTCCAGAGAATTTTTGCACACCCAACATTTTCAAGACGCTGGTATTAGCGTGGAAATCCATAAGTAACAGTCAACAACTTTTACTAAAAGTATGCAAACATCATTTGAAACGGTACAATTATAGTTATCAAGTGTAGATAAAATATCGACAGACGCGCAGCTAATAAAGATAACTTTAACGAGGTGAAAATCTTCGGAAACCGTGATACCAGAACTTTTAACCAATTATAGCATTAAAACAGTACCTCGTGTGTTGTACCACCGTACTGTAGTGCCGGTAAGAGACTCCCGCTTGAAGCACAACTGCAGCAACGAGAACTAACTGCATGTGCATACAGTTATAAATTTGAAGTTTTTTAATGCTGATCATAGGCATTTCCAGTTTAATTTAAACACTTACTTTGGACTACTAATAAAATGGCTACTTTTGGTGCGCTCGACTATGCAATTGTTGTACTTGTGCTGATCATATCAGCCGGTATCGGTGTCTATTATCGTGTGACGGGCGGAAAGCAGAATACCACTAAGGAGTACCTGCTTGCCGGACGCCAGATGTCAATTTTGCCTGTCGCCTTCAGCCTTATGACTAGCTTCATGTCCGCCGTCACTCTGCTGGGTGTCTCGATGGAAAACTATCAGTACGGTACTATGTTTGTGCTCATCAATATCTCGTACATCTTGTCCACACCTGCAGCTGCCTACCTCATTCTGCCAGTTTTCTTTCGACTGAAAACTGCATCCGTCTACGAATATTTGGAATTGCGATTTGGCTATGCCACCCGACTATGCGCCTCTCTCGCCTACACTGTACAAATGACACTCTACATGGGCATAGTTTTGTATGCACCAGCACTAGCGCTTGAGGCCGTAACAGGGCTGAATCAAAATTTCTCAATAATTCTCGTCGGTGTAGTGTGTACCTTTTATGCCACATTGGGTGGTATGAAGGCGGTGCTTATCACGGATATTTTCCAGTCGCTGCTAATGTTTGTATCCGTGTTTAGTGTCATAATTTTCGCCACGATCAAAGCGGGCAGCTGGGGTGAGATTTGGCGGGTTGCGTATGAAGGTGGTCGCATCAATTTTACGGATTTCCGTATCGATCCAACAGTGCGCCATACTTTTTGGACACAAATAATTGGCGGCATAAGCACATACTTATCCGTGTATGGCGTCAATCAGACGCAGGTGCAACGTTTGTTGTCGGTGCGCAATCTAAAAGCGTCGCAAGCTTCTTTATGGTGGAATTTACCAATTTTGATGCTTTTGAGTTGCAGCACCTGTTTCTCTGGACTCTGTATGTACTACTACTATAAAGACTGCGATCCATTGCTGGAGGGTCGTATATCCTCACGTGATCAATTGATGCCACTTTTCGTCGTAGATACAATGTCAGACATACCCGGATTGTCGGGCCTATTTGTTGCGGGTATATTTTCGGCAAGTTTGTCAACAATTTCATCTGCTATTTCCTCTTTGGCTGCTGTGACTGTGGAAGATTATATAAAACCATTGCTACTGTGGAAGACCAAACAAACGCTGAGTGATTCAAGAAGCACATGGTTTTCCAAAATTTTCAATCTAATTTACGGCGCGGGATGTATCGGTCTGGCATTCCTAACAGGTTCGCTAACTGGTGTTCTACAGGCTGCGCTTTCCATTTTTGGCATTATAGGCGGTCCCCTTTTGGGTCTATTCACGCTCGGCATGTACTTCACAAGCGTTAATCAAATGGGCGCAATAACGGGTCTCATCAGCAGCCTGGCATGTTGCTTTTGGATTGGTTTTGGTCAACCCAGACCTACGCCGCTAAGCTTGGAATTCTCTACCGAAAGCTGTCCGGCGACGCCACCAACAACACACATCAGCAACATCTTCACACAACAACTATCAACGGCGTTAGCAGCGGAGCCACATTATTTCTATCTTTATCGTATCTCGTATATGTGGTATGCGACTATTGGCTTTCTCGTCACGTTGTTCATGGGCTTGGTATGCTCCTGGCTGTACGCCAAGCTGGGCTGGGATTCGAATGCACACATCTACACTGACAGCGCGTGCACGACAATCAAATATGATCTCTTTGTACCGCCAATAGCGAGACGGTTGCGCAATCGACAAGTGCCCGTTGTGGTGGTGACGGGAACGAGCTCTGAGATCGGTGGTGGATCGGCCACACCCAGCAACATGGAAGATGAGACACCAGCAACAAGAATTGACACAACTGTAACCGATCTTAGCATGCAGAACCTCGAGAGAAGTGAAAAGCATGAGAAAATGCCAAATAGCAGTGGCGATGCGGTTTTGCAAAATGGCAGCAGGCAACACGTAGACGCCATATCTTAAAATAAAACGCTGCACTTTGTTTGTTTTCATTACTAGCAAGATGTGGCAGCAATTTTAATTTTAAACAAAGTTTCATTTCAATTTATTGCAATAAATCAATCCGCTAGACGTAGCCAATTGATTTGTTTATTTATTTATAACAATAATGTGTCTACAGGTAAATGAGTTTATGTGCATGAGTTACCGTGAACCTATGACACATTTATGCTGTACCTAGATTGTAGTTACCTGAAAGTGGTACTCATAGATAATGTTATATTAAATAGTAAAAATATTTGTGAAAACTAACAACAAGTTAGTTTAACAGTATTATGAGATTTACGCAATGAGCGCTGCGTCACAATGTATTGGGAGCTGACACCAACCCACCACTTTCTATCAATTTTTATCTTATCTATTAGCGACTTAATTGCTGCCAATTATATTTGAAATAAAATGCACACAACAATTTACTTTATTTGTGTACTTGGCCGTTTGATAGCAGCTTTTATAGAGTGCTTTATTCTGTTGAAGTTTATAAGCGGGATACCTATGAGATAATACTAACTAAACTAACATTTACCATATAAGCTGACACAGTTAATGCGTTTTAACCTTCTGCTTCGCTGTTATGGCACAATTAAAGTTAATTTTTATTAATAAAACGACTTAAAATAAAAAAAACAATTATCAAATGTAAATATTGAATTTTAGCTATGGCCGACACCCACTCCGCTTTGTTCAGCAATGGCAATGCGCATTGCGTTATCAGCAACACATTTAAAGCAGCGTTAGCAGTCGGCAGAAAAGACAACATTTTCGCAAACATAAACATAAACGAACCAAAATTTCTGGAACGCCATCAGTAGTGGCGCGCATAGCCGCCGTACCGCCTGTCGCCTTGCATTTCGTAAGCATTGCGCTCCTTAGCCATTTGCCAATTGGCCAGCAGTTTGTCGAGTTCTGTGTAGGTCAGCGTCTTGCCTTGGCGCCGTTGGTCGGCGCTTGCAGCATCCGCCGTGCTCTTGTTATCGATGAATTTGGTGACCTCGGCCACAACGGGTTCACCCAATTCATTGGACTGTGCGATGCGCATTATGTAGCTGGGAGTTGGTGTGGGCGCGCTCGGCGTCTCCTCGACGTACTCGTAATCGTTGCCCATGAGCTGTGCATAGTGTGGCAGCACGAAGCCCTGCGCAAAACTGCTAAGCGCCAACACGGCGACCACTAACGTGATAAAAACCTGCGCCATCTGTCACGCGCGCAACAACAAAATCAATTGCAATACTAATTTGCAGCAAAAACGCGTCAAGCGTTGACAAACAACTCGCTCAAACAATACACGTTGACGTGCAAATTTGTATTTGAATTTATAAATTATTGAATTAAATTAAAATTTGTATAATATGCGAACTGTTGCGCGCGTTGTATGCTGCGAGGGATGTTGTTGTCGCGACGGGTATTTCAACTAAACTGATTGACGATTATACGAGCGCTTATTAAAGCTGCGCGCAACGACTGATTAGAACTGGCTGCGCAGCGGCGACAAGCGTTTCGAGCGCGATGCTGGGCAGGCAACAGGCGCAAGTTGTTGAACTTGTCTGCTGCGCCAGCTAATAATAAGAATGAAATGTGTTTTCCTTTTCACGCTCAACGCTTTGACGCTGCATTTACTGATGCACTGTCCGCTTAATAAAATGCGTCTCAACTTTCGACGGCGAAAGCTTACGCTCATAACACATTCCTCAGTTTACTACTGCTTAGCGGCTTAGCGTGTTTTGGAGCAGGGAATGTAGTGTTGCCACTAAGTCAAGAATTTTATAATTTTATCAAAAACTACTATTTATTGCACGCATTAAAAAAATCTATTTACAATGAACTCGTCTGCTACAATATTTTTCATTTTAAATATTTAACTGTAATGTGTACTTTCTTCAACTGGGTTCGTACCAATTTTTTTGCTTATACATATGTACGTATATGTATGTATGGTGTGTATACATGTGTTACTTAATTGTGTATAAATTAATACTAAATGCTTTCATTATTTGGTCGTTATACACTCGTTTCCTGCCGCCACACACAGTGGCGTTATCAGCATTTATTCCTCCGAGGTCGTCACAGTCTCTGTGACTTTTGTTGTCTTTATAATAGTTGTTGTCGTTGTCTCGGAGCTCATGCCATCTGTCTCAGCCGGCACAACTAACGTGCTCGTAAACACGCCAGCCGAAGTATTATCGTTCGTTGGCTGCGCAACAATTGTCGACGTTGTGCTCTGAAATGTACGAAATTTAATAAATAAATTCTTTTGTTAATACTTGTACTTATGTACATATGTATATATACAAGTATGTATGTATGATATCGTCGGTGCGCATATGCTTGTACAAGCTTGTAAACAAGCTTTATCTAGTACATACATACATATGTACTCAATTAGAAATGTCTATAAATGCGCACAATCTAACAAGTTACAAGTTAGATTGTATACAAGTATATGATAAATGTGCTGCTTTGTGCTAAAATTAGCAGCCAGCTTTGTGATTTGCTTGATATGACCATGTTTAATTTCTGATAACAACGAAGACAACACCCAACTGTGGCGCTTATGTAGGCAGAGAAAAGTGCGAGCGAGTGCTCTGTGTGCCAAACTTGCACTTTCAGCGGATAATGTTGAAGTTTACACAACCTAATTGCTGTATAAATGGTCGTGTAAGTTAGGTTATTGAGAGGGTATACTAGACTGGAAATAAAAAATATAGATTTTTTTTCTTTTTATATTTTCAAAGTTTAACTATTCAATAATACGCCTACAAGAAGGTTTTTCCAAATTCAAATTATTTTCTGAGGTATAGGTAGTTTCTGACCCTCCATCCAA